AGCTGGCCTAGAAAGCTCAAAAGAGAAATCGGCAAGAAAAAAAAAAAAAAAAAAAAAAAAAAACGAAGCTAATTCCGTAGTGCGAGGCTCCTGCTGAGCCCACAGGAGAGAGGCTCCCGCTGTGCCTCCCTGCTGCCCAGCGGAACCATGGCCTGTGCCTGGCCATGGCTGGCAGCTGCCGAAGCCCCTCACGTCAGCATGGTTTGCAGCCAAGGGAAGCAGGTGGCTGCACGGCCTTCCTCACGAGCAGGGGACCTTCTCTGCGGGACAGAGGTGGCTGCTGGACAGGCAACGTGCTCCCAGGGCACGCTCAGGGATCTGGGCTGTACCAAGCCTCTGCATGCCAGCAAATAAGGCGAAATTGGGCTTCAGGGTCTTGTGGCTTCTGTACTCCAGCCCTTTCCTTGCAGTGTCATTATCTGAGACACTCGGCTCCTCCAAAGGAGGTAGGGTGGTGTCTTGGTACTACCTCAGTGCAGCACTAAGCCCCACAAAGCCCCAGAGAGGCCAGAGATGAAGGCTTACCACCCTCACCAGGGTCAGTGTGGCTGCGTGAAGCATTGAAGCAATTCACCAGCAGTCACCCAAACAATTTGGGCTAGAGGATTTATTATCGCTCAGGCCCCCTGATGCACCACGGCACCAGAGGCAGGCACCAGAGGCTGTGGTGCCGAGGCAGCCGTGTCAGTGCTCCCTAGGATCCCACAGGAGGGCCGGGGCCTGGGCAGGGAGGTGAGCCCACATCTCAGCTCAGTGGTTTCCCTGTCCGAGTGAGTTTTGCTCATAAACACAGAGCACTGGCACTTTCACCGATGGCATCGGCAAGCTAGGTCGTTTTGCAAGGTTCCAGACAAAGATGAGGGGAAGTTAGGGAAGAAACAAGGGAGCGGGGAGCAGGTTGTGCTTCCCAGGTTGGTGGAAAAGGGGCGGAGGGGCTAACAAAGCAACCAGAGCCTTGCTTTAATTCCCTGCCAGCCACCACGTCCACAAGCCTTTCTCTCCCAGCACAGGAAAGGCTGCTCACACTTAATCCTCCCCACATGTATTCACACCCCTCCCCTCAGAGCCTGGAGCCTGACTTGGAGAAGTGAAAACAGCCGCTGCAAAGTCAAAACTAAGTGGCAGCTTCCCATTTAACCAGCTCTAATTGCCAGCTGAGCAGACGGTTAATCTCTGAGAACGTGCTGTGGTACGGGTGTTGCTGAGTCCCTGTAATTGCTTAAGAGCAGCCATTGAGGATGCCGGGAATCAGCCAATTATTCTGCCTAGTTTCTTTTCTTTTTTTCTTTTTTTTTTTTTTGTTTTGTTATTTTTTCACAACGTTGTGAATTTGCAAAGAACTTTCTTTGCCCAAAAGCAGCCAGAGCAGGATCTCTCAGCAGTTCAGTGGGGATGAAGAGATTATATCTGGGCTGGCTAATCCTGTGTGGGCAGGAAATGGGGGCAGCAGTGGGGACCCCACTCTCAGCTGTACCCACCATGGGGAAGGGGAGGGTCTGCTGTGAAATCCTTCCGTACCATTACTCTCGAAGTGAAGGGGAGGGAAGGCAGCAGTCACAGAGGTGACTCCCTGAGCAGAATTCATCCCAGCAAGCCACTGCTGGCCCTGAGTACAAATCACATCCAATTTCCAGTTCCTCAATGGCTCTATTGAGCAATAAATCAGCTCGGCGTCCAAGCTGGCTGAAACACTCGAGCTTGCGCAGTTATCTTATTCAGCCCTGAGAAGCTAAAGCCTTCTTTCTTGCCAAGGCCAGCAGGCTGGGGAGAGTCAACCATCCAAATCCCTTCAGAGCTCACCAATAAAAAATAAAAACAAAACAAGCCAAAAAAAAAAAAAAAAAAAAAAAAGACAGAAAGCAAGTCCCTGAACTGCAGATCACCTGCACATCTCCATTTGTTCAGCTCTTTTTCTCCACACCAGAAGAAGAGATGTGTTTGCCAACCCCTTTCCCAGCAGCAGCCAGTGTGACTTTCCTGTTCCTGCTGTGAGCAGTGGCACAGACACGTGGCACTCAGCTGCCCAGGGCGCCCTTTGCCTGTCCCTGTCCAGATGTAAAATTCAGCATCAAGTGATTTTCTCCACATCCTACAAGGGTCTCACAGTGAAACCCAGGCACATGTCCTAACCCAGCTGCAAGCCACAGCAACCACAGCATCTGCAGCTCCACCACCTTATATCTATACGTGGCTCTCCGTCTTGCAGCCCATCCCTCCTATTATTTCCACCCTTGAAGACACCAAGTGGAATCTGTCACTGGCTTAGTGTAGGGAATTTCTTGGTGTCCCCTCTCAGCTGGGATGGGACTGGGGAGCTAGCACTGACCCCCAGAACACAAATCCACCCCACCCTACTCATGGCAGGCAGGAAAGCTCCCTGAGAGCTGAAACAAGAGAGGATGTGGAATGTCAGCAAAGGAAAAAAACAAAGCAGAGCAGGAGAAAAGATGACTTAAAATCCCCCGGTGCACCTTCAACTCAAAGAACGCCAGCTACGGTCCTAAAGCCATTATCACAGCAAATCAAAGAAGGCACCTTTGGTAGCATGTCTGATCTCTAAGCAACATCAAAACGTGCCCTACAGATGCTGCCAAACCTTCTAGGCAGAGATGGGGGAGGTCCACCCTGCCAGGGCTGGGCTCTGCTCGTACCCCCCAGCCAGCTCCCCAGCAGGGGCTCTGGGGAGCACAGCTGCCCTGGGCATGGGTCTGTGAGTGACCAGGGCTCGTGAGCAGCCACAAGCACATCTCCATCCCGCCTTGCATATGGATGCAGCAGAGACAGCATCAAATGATGGACCATGAGCACAACAGCAAGTGACAGCCTTCCTACGGAAGGATTTTGTGCTTACCCAGCACAGCCTCTGTTGTGTTGGAAAGTGACAGTCCTGGGGCTTCCCAGAAGCTCTCTGAGGACAGGAGAGAAAACAGGGGAACACGAGAGCAAAGGTCTGGAGGGCTCCCATCCCCAAAAAAAGGCTCTCTTTACCCACAGCACACCCCTAATCTCTGCACCCCCTCCTAGGCAGCCCTCTCCTCCTCCTGCATGTCCCTGGCACCCACCTTGCTCTGGAGCTGCTCACTTCACCCTGCAGACATGACGCTGCATGAGCCCTAATCAGCCCTGAGACACCTCATGCATCCAAGCCCAGTGCGAGGAGGAGGGAAATCATACATCATAGAAATGAAATAAGAGAGGGGTGGTTTTCCATCTGAAGTCAAATTGATCCCATCTGTTAAGTCTCTCCCCTCCTGGGGAAGAGCCGAGGGGAACCAGCCCAGGGCATGTGCTTGCCACACAGCCTGGGGAGCAGTGATTTCTCCTTTCTCCACTGCACGCATTTACAATTTTCATGCTGACACAGGGACTAAGCACCCTTGCAGGTGCAGGTCCCAGCCCCACTGGTTACCCTGTGGTCTGTGCAATAGCCCCAGGATGTCTTCCACTTGACACCTCCCCTTGGCTCCAGAGAAACCAAGGACAAGCTGTTCGGGCAGGGTTGAAAGGATCACAGCGCTTTCATTTTGCACAAACACGAAGCCGAGCCCAGCAGTGAGGCCTCCTCCTCCCCATGCCTTGCCCAGCCCCGTGCCCATGCCACCTCGCTGCCACCCTCCTCCCCAGAGGCAGCTGCACTCCGACACCATCGCACCTGGGTAAATGGGGGGCAGCCACACTGGGGCTGCAGCAACGCTTCCACGAGCTGCCCCTGCCCTCCTGCTGCCTCTTCGTGCCAGCTGTCCAGCTGCGGATATCACATTTGGCTGTCCAGGGGGAGAACCGCTAAGCCTTCTCACAGCTGCTCCTCATGCAGAAACCTTTGCACGGGGCAGCGGTAAGGCAGGCGACCATATGCTCCAGCACGGGGGACAACGAGCCACTCGCTGCGATTAGCAGCGCCGTGATGAACCGTTGTCATGACTGATGGCACGAGTACTCTGGGGGAGCAGGGAAGGAGCAGATTTTCACAGCAGATAAGGCCTAATGAGCAGAGAAATAACCTCAGCGTGCTGTGGGAGATTTACAGAGCTCCAACAGACATGTCCAGCCTTGCAAGGAAGGAAACAGTTCATTGCAAGCAATAGCTGGGGCAGAACAGCCAGGGGTGTGAGAAAGAACACTTTTCCCTGGGTTTGGGAGTGGGGGAAGAAGCAAACCCTTGCATGGAGGAGTGGAAGTGAAGGAGGATGCTGCAGGGCAGGACGGGTGCGTTGGGAGCAGGATGGGGTCTCCAGGTCTGGCCAGGCACCGCAGCCACCCTGCTGCAGGGAGAGCAAGAAAACCGTGCAGTTAAAACACATCCACACAGCACCCAGACCACCTTACAGAGGGGAAACCAAGGCACGGAGAGATACAAAGCCAAGCAGTCATCCCTCCAGGGCACGGCACCCTTGTGCTGGGGAAAAAGGAAACTTCAAACCTCAATGTTGGCCTTTGCGCCTTGCGAGCCCGTTCCCAACAGGAACCTGTGTTGCCTATTACTGGCTCAAGTGCATGGCACAGCCGTCCCCACCGCCTCGGGGGAGCTTCGCCATGGGAACTGCTGCCGAGCCACCTTGGATTAGAAGTTACTACAGCTCTGCCAGGAAGCCTGCCCCGTGCTTTCTATTTTTAGCTGCAGGCAGACCTATTCATATCAGTCACTGCTGAAACACGGGTCTTTACGCACACATTTGGTGCAGTAATTCAGGGCCGTGAAGTCAGTTCCTCGGCTTTGAGCACAGCTCACCAAGATAAATAATAAACCTACGAGCCGAGTGCTCCCCAGCCCGGGGGCGATGCAGGGGGGGAGCAGGGCTGCACATCGCTGAAGGTGCTCCCATCACACACATTTATTCCACGGGATCACACCACTGCTTACGTGCGGAGTGAGGCACAGGTCTGAATGTGATTTACCAACTCAGGGCCGTAAACTGCAAGGGAAGCAGGAGAAATGGGATGAGAGACAGGACGGGTCCTGAGGGAACCATAAAGAGATTCACAAGGCTCCAAACTGCTGGTTGTTTTCCTGCTTTTTAATTATTTCATCTTAAAATGCTTTTAGAAGGGAAGTGCTTCATTTGTGCTTAACACAGTACAAGTGAAAAAGATGACTGCTTTTACAGCTATTCACTGTAAAAATATGGAGAGCAAATCTCAGAGGTCCGCAATAAGTCAGAGTTTCTTGAGTAAACCAAGGCAGGGAGAAGATGTACACGCCTGGTGCTGGAGCTCCCAGTCAGCCAGCCCTCGTTCTGATGATGCTTTATTGTGCTTCCCCCTTTCACATGCACGATAGCACTTGCCAAATCTAGGCAGGTAACATGATTTAAAAAAATTAAGAAGCCTTCAGCAGTGAGACTGCACACCTCCTTCCCAGGAACACTGCCTCTGCCCGCCATCACCCTGCCCTCTGCCAGGGGAGGGGCTGCAGAGCCTCCGAAAAACAGTGGCACCCACATCCCTCTACTGAGGGGGTGCTCCCCAAAAACTGTCCCTATTTCTTCCTATATAGCTTTCTGCTTCTCTACCTTCTTCTCACCCTGCATGGGACATCTCACCCTCTGAGCCCCTGGGCATATCGCCATGGGCAGGCAGTCACTGCAGGAGCACCGGGTTAAGCAGCACGGCACCCCACGCCTCCCAGGGCAGAGCCCTCAAGTCAAGAAGCCTCTGAGTGAAAATCTACAGATATTCATAATTAACATCCTCAATTCATAATTAACGTGCTGAAACTCTCAACAGGTCTAGAAGCCCCTGCAGAGCCAGGGGCCGCAGCCCTGGTACAGACCTGTGTTCCTGCTCTGGGGGAAATGCGAGAAGCCCTGTGAAGGGGAACGGGGCAACACCGACTCCAAATCCCCATATTTACGGTGCTGACTTCTCTGTAGCTGCCTTGCAGCTGGTGACAAGATGCTAGTTAGCAGCGTCTCTCCTTCTCTTCCCCAATTGTTTTCTGAGTGACAAACCAGAACATGTAAGTACTCCCATGAGCTCCTAACTATAACTCTGTACTTGGGGAGATTTAATCAAGAAATCTTCTGTCTGATTTGATTCAATTTTTGCAGAAAATGTTACCTGGAGCTTGCTAGCTATTTTGGGGCTGAAACGGGCTTTCTTGTTACACTTTTGCAAAGGAAACCTGAGCATGTTGCTCAGCCCAGAGAGAGCTCTTCACCCTGCAGTGCCCTGGGAGGAGGAGAGCCCCAGCCAGAAATCACCCATTGCCCAGCCAGGCATTTGCATGGTCCATCCCTGCAGATCTAACCCTACCACTTTCCACATGAAGGAAATGCTGCCTAGAACAGCTCATTGGGACTCATCCTACCTGGCCGTGCTGCCAGCTCGCTGCTGGCTGTAGCAGGCAAGAGCCCGAGGCACTTTTCTGCGGAGTCCTGCAGTCAGAGAGGAGGCAGGAGCGGGTCCCCTGCTTGCACAGCCAGCCCCATCCCCACTGGGGCCCTGGGTCACTCAGCATGGGAATCGCTGCCAGCAGCCCCAGCCCTGCTGACCCGAGGTGTGAGCAGAGCAGATGGGACAAACGGACAAACTCTCCTCCCATCCGCGCGTTTTCCAGGAGGAGCACTGGCAAATAAATGGACAAAAAAAGCCCTAAAGCAAAACAAGAAGGAGTGTGAGCGTATTAAGTCTTTTTCCATCCCCGGTTTATGCTTCAGCTGCTACCTTGAGACTGGCACAGAAAGCAACGTGCCGTTTGCTTCACGCAGCTCCTGGGACCTGCGTGGCACACTTTCTGCTTGGGTACCTTCACTTCTGGAGGCCATTAGACAGGGTAATTTCACCAGTTCCTGAGCAAATGCCTGGAGGGGTCTTTGCAAAGCCAGTTCAGCACAGCTGAAATATGGAGAAAATGTTCGTTTGAATCCTAAAGAGAAATGTAATGACTGCTTTGTAGTAAAGCACATTAAAATCAGGCCCATTTTGGCTGATCGAGGCACGATCTCATCAGCACTCTCCAAGAAGAAATACTTCTGATCCAGCCAGTGAGTTTAACACCTTTACAGAAGAGTTTTCATCAGCTGACAACACCCAATTTGGGAAGAATTAGCTCACAGCATCGTGCAATCTCAGACTATAAAAACAAGTGCATTTAATCTCTTTTTTCTTTTTTGTTTTGTTTGTTTTTGGGAGAGGTACTTGCGGTTTGATGGGCCCGGCTCTGCTGAGATGCCATCTGGCTGAACTCCCCAGCAGAGGTTTGCCCTGCCGATTCCCTTCGCTGGGGGCTGTGGCCCGCTTGCTCGCTGGCACGTTGGTGCAAACAACTGCTGGTGCAGGTGCTGTGTCCTGAGCTGAGTGGCCAGGAGTGAAATGAGACCTTGGTAACACTGCTTGGGGAGCTGGAATGAGCCCCTGGAAAGGCAGCAGCACGGCCCTGAGGCACCCAAGCCCACCAATACACCAAAGAGGGAAAGGACATAGAGCAACCTTTTTGGGGAATGAGCACCAGGGCAAAATCATACCAAGCACTTGCAAAGGCTTCTTTCCTCTTGCCCTGTCTCATTCCAGGCCATAACACTGCCACCTGTGCCAAAAGAAGACATTGTAGGGAGGAGAGGGTAGCAGACTGTTAGAAGCTGGTTTGGCAACATGCAGGCTTGTGAATACCCAACTGCATTTTGTTAGGGTCTGGTGGTCTTATTCATTAAAAGGAGGGAGGCAGGACTTCCACCGGGACAACCACGCAAAAGGTGCTTGTGGAGCAGGCTGATGTTACACAGAATGCGTCAGCAAAGGGAAGGAAACGGCGAGCTGTCAGCCCTCCCCAGCGCTGCTGGATGCAGGCACAGCCTCAGCCTTGGCAGCTGCAAGCACTTGCCTGTGCTCATCTGTGGTTGTGTTCCTGTGTGGGATGGTATAGAGATGTTAGGCTATCAAGGGATTATGTATTAGCAAGCATTTGCCCTGAAACATGCTCGTGCTCCTGCAGAAACATATGCTGGCAGAGCAAGAAACAAACCCCAAGAAACGCAGCTCCCTCTGGCCGTGTGCCAGAGCACGGGGCTGCCTCCTGCGGGGCTCTCCCCGGTGCTGGGTGGCTGTCCCTGGGCACAGCACCCCTGTGTGTGCCATCGGCAAGGCGAGGGGGAGCTGGAGCAGGGGTCCCCGCGGATGAACCTGTTCAGAGGGCAGGCACGGTGCCAGTATGTGAGATCGGGGGAAACTCAAAACCTCAGCTGGTCCCCTCCAGGAAGGAGGTTCCTTCACCGTCTGCCCCAGGCTGATCCTAAGAAGCCCAGTATTTGTCAGTGAGGAGCAAATGAGGAAAAAGGACTTAGCTCCTGGCTTCCACCTCCTCTCCCAGGTACCAGTGCCATGCCACAACCATTCACCATTTCGGCATCCCGACAGGGAGGGGGTGTTTGTAGGGATGTTATAGGGATGTATTCTGCTCCCACATGCTGCTCCAAACGCAGCACTGCAGCTGATTTCCCTTCAGTGATTCCCACCTGGTGTCCCCTGGTGTTTAGGGACATGAGCTGCTTCATCTACATGATTTTTTCATCCCTAGCACTGACAATCCTCTGATACTGCTTGGGTTTTGTTGTTGTTGCTGTTGTTTTCAAACTAATCAGAGCCCTGGTGTTGTTTCTCATATCAAAAGTGCCCAGTCAATCTGATTTTCAGAAAACATAGCGTGTCTGGGGAGAAACCTGTAAAATATGGAGCACGCTCTCCATTTGCATCCAAATGTTGAAAAACCTCGTTGCTCCTCTATGATACATCATATCAGTGCTACTCCTGCCATGAAATATTCATGGCCATTTATTATGATGTGCTTTATTATCCCTGTAAAACTCTCCAGTGATCAGTGTCTCTGTTTGCCCAGCCTCCAGCCTGGATCGCTGCTCCTGTCCCTCCCTCAGTGCCAGCAGGGGCTGGATTCATCCCCGTCCCCATCAGCTTTAAGGCTGGTCCTGCTCTGTGCCGGGGGCTCTGGGCATCCTGGCTGCTGTGGCATCAGGAGGGAGACCAGGACACTCTCTGCCTGCAGTAAGTTGAAGGAAAGGAATAAAATTCAAACCAAGATTGACACCCTGAGCCCGGTGTGACAGTGAATTAAATGGCTTTGCAGCTCCTGCCTGCGTTGGGCTGGCAGCGGGGAGTGCAGCAGGTCTCGCTACCCCTGCACCCACTGTGTGATGCTAAAAAAAACAAAAAATAAAGGGAAACGCTCCATCAGGACAGTTCTCAAATGGTTTATGGCAACTGCTAGACTCATTTTATCATTATCTACTAGACGCTTTTCAAATGGGTGTCTCTCCAGTTCCTCCCACCCCCTTGCAGGGTCTGGTGCCGGGACAGCAGCACTGAATCGCTCACACCCACCAAGCTGCCCCCGGCAATAAAGCAGAGGCAAAGGCTGAACCCAGAGGGAAGGTGGGAGAAAGGCAGGGACAGTTTCTGGAGCAGATGCAGTTTGTGATTCAGAGCAGCCCTTTATAGCAGGACACTATAAGAGTCCCATTCTGCAAACCTTTTATTCTTCCTGCAAGAGCTTGCTAGACCTGCCTTTTACGTGCAGAGGGGAGTAAAAAAGATCTACGAGGATGCTGAGAGCTCTGCTTTCATAGAGGCTGCAAAGCTGGATCTCAGTGGGGTGACCTTGATACAACCTCTTGCTTCAAACCCAGCAAACAGTTCTGCGTCGAGCAAAGTGCTGCAAGAGGACTCGGGCTCCCCGCTTGCCAGCATCCTGGCACTGCTTTTCCCCAGAGCAGCGCCTTCCAAAAGCGAGCTGCATCAGCCACAGAAAAATAAATAAATCTACTTTCCACATCATTTCATCTTCTGATAACAGTAATGAACTCAGTCCAAGGCATTACTGGGAATTAATGACTGGCTGCCTCCTGACTCACCAGCTCGTCCCATGATCGCATAAATTCCGAGGAGCCGTTATGAACCACGCATCAAAGAGGAAGCCGAAAATAAAGCAATTGAGCAAAGCCCTGGAATAGATATACAACATGCCAGTCCCACCTGGAAGCCTGAGAATTGAGATGGGCTCCGAGAGGCACGTGCTTGCTCTGCCCGCATGGGGACGGGACCCCACCAGCAGCTGCAGGGCAGCTGGGGCTCCCATGCGATACATATCCAAGCTGCGTCACTTTCCCAAAATGAGTTGAAAGCAGCAGACATCGCCCTTAGAGAACCGCTCCTCTGGCTAATTAAACTCACATCGCATGCTTTACCTTTAACCTTTCTTTGTGGCCAGCTCTCCGGTTTCACGGTTTCACCGTGCTCTTGTCTAAGAGATTAAAGAGCTGCCCAGAGGCTCCCCCTGGATGTGGGTACTTCTGGACCATTATCACATCACCTCTAACCTTCTCTTAATAAACTAAAAGAAGATGCCTCATTACTGAAATTAAGCTTTGCAGTTCGTACCTGCTTGGCAATTAGAAAGCTGGGTACCTCCTGTACGCAAGGTCACTCGGACTTGTCCTTCCACCTCACAGGGCTCTCTGCAGGGAGAAGAAGGGTTAACAAAATTGACAAATGCTTGTTTAAATACCTAGATTTCTTGCTTTCCTAGTTGCAAATGTAAATTTGGATGTCACTAGCTCCAGTAATTAGATTTAATGACTAAAGAGCATTCGGAGATTATGCAATTCATGAAGTTCTCCATCAGAAAGGACAGATTAGATTTGCTGCTCTTTTTGAAAATATGAGTTATTGTCATCATCTTTGCGTTGAACATGTCAATCCTGGCTGCTTGTCTCAAGAAATTTAACAAAATTAATACGTCATTTTGTTACCATTTTTTAAGTACAGTCCATGTGCAGGTCATGTACCAGAGCATTCAGCTGGCTGAAGAGGCAGGCAGAGGTATGGCTGATAACAGAATACATTTTAATTTGGAAAAAAGATACAGCTGTTACATTAAACCAAAAGGCTGAGCAGACCCACTCCAGCCCATAGCCGCATTCATTTACTGTTGGGGCTCACTGCTGCTGGAGTCACACACCCAAACTACTCAGGCTCCAAGGACAATCACTGTGAAATACAGCCCAGTGCAGCAAAGAGACTTGTCTTGTGATAGATGGTCCCCAGGCGGAACTAGCACCATGCTCCAGGTGCTTGAGAAGACAAGCCCTGAAAAACAATCCTGCACTAGAGATGTGTCCTTCTGCTCTGCCAGGCACCAGCCCTGCCCTTGAGACCCTCGGGGCAGAGTGGGTCATGGGGGTCCTGGGACAGCAGTCATCCCGCGTTGGGAGCCAGGCCACAGATGCTGCAGAGGCATCTCTCACTAGCCCAGTAGCTGCGTCCCTCCAGGTCTTTAATTAAGGCAGCTTGGGCTTCCCAAGCCGTAGGGTGTGAAAACAGCACCTCGTAAAAACGTCCCAGCCCCAATAACACTTCTAAATCAGCTTCTTGGGACGCAGCCGTAACAAGCCACATGGAGAAGCCACAGCAGCAAGGGGAAGGTTTTACTGGCTCTTAATTACGAGGTTTGGCACCAGTGTCTGCAGCTGGTGCTCTGGAAAACAGCGAGGAGGAGCGCTCCGGCACCGTGCCGCTGCCTGCGGCAGCTCCCCATGCTCCTGCACCTGGAAGGAAGGACCAAGGGCCCAGGTCCCCAAGAATTTGGGTGGGATGGACGTGCACCCACCTCTGGGGCAGATGGGCTGTTACACCACAGAGCACACATCCCAGGCTCTGTGCACCAAACATTATTCGCACACAGCTGTGTGTGTTGGCACGTCTAGGGCTGCACACTACAGAGATGGGGACTGGTGGGGTCCCTGAGAAGCTGGATGAGACCCGTCCCAGCACACAGCCACCCTGCTCTGCCTTTTTCCCTCCAGAAACTCACTCCTTCATCCCCTGGGTAACACATGGGCGCAGACGCTGCAACACCAGCATCCCATTGTTAGCTCTCCAAAACCCCACAAGCCAGCAGCGTCAGCTTTTTCTCTTTATCAGACCTCTGATATTTTCCTGGTGGTGACCTGCGTGTAATTAACTGAAACCTCCTGACAGGCCGGCCTCTCCCAGGTTCCTCGCTGAGACCCTCTGAGAAAGGCCCCGCAGGTCAGCAGACTAAAAGCTGCTGATGTGAACAAGTCCCCAGACGGCGAACCTCACGATTAAGAGCTCTTTAACCCAGCTGAATCCCTGCCTGCAGGATCAAAGGCTGCAGCTGGAAGGCTGGATGCGTTCAGAAAGACATGGTTAATTGTGAGAGCAATTAGCTTCTGCGAGAATTCACCAAGTACGTGACAGATTCTCTGTGCCTGGAAGTGTTTAAACCTCAGAGGAGATCCTTCCGAAAGATACGGCTGTGTTCAGCCAGGGTGGAAGGGCCTGATACAGAAACGGCCCGCTTTGTGCAAGAAGCCAGAAGAGACGAACAGAATGGTCCTTTGAGCTGGAAAATCTCTAAAATCTATGAAACTATTAATAGGGTGAGACGTTTCCAGTGGGTTTGACAGCTAGATGACAAATCTGTGTTAAATTCCACAGGATCCAAAGAAACTCTGCTCAGCCTCGTTTTCTGATATCCTCCAAGGGCTTTCCCAATAGGGGATTTTAGTTTTCTATTTTTTAGCTTCAAAATGTTCTTCTGAACTGGAAAACTTCTGCAGCTCCACTCCGCTTACCTCCTTCTGCTGCTCCATCCTCTCCTGTGTCCCAGCAAATATGTGGGCAAACCCCCGGAGAGGTGGCAGCAGGGAGCTGCTGTAGGAGCTGCCCTCCTACCCATGGCACGGTCCTCCCAGGAGTTTCCCTTGGCCACTCTTGCATCGATGATTTTATTTTGTTCCTGTGAATGTCACAGATGAAAGCCCCAGGAGCTCTGTTGTGCTGCCCACCAGCTGTGGAGCCACCCACCACATCAGCCCCTCATGAGCATCTTCGGTTCCCTTTGCAGGTGCTGTTGCCCACCCCAGCCACCGGCAGACCTCTCCTGCTCACCTCTGTGGTTTCTGCAAGCCACCATCACACCTCAATGTCCAGATCAGTCAAATTTGGAGAAGGAGGTCTGAAGGATATCAACGTCCCACTTGTGTGATGAGCATGGGTGGCTGGGCAGAGGGAGGAGACCCTACCTTGCCCTTTCCCACCTCCGAGCCAAGGCACAACCACATTTGCAGACCCTGGAGAATCCCCCTGGCTTGCACGTGTTCTGCTGCTCCCAGAACAGTTTGGTTTAGCATCCCTTTTAACTGCTCTGCAGCTTCATCCTCCCAAATTCAGCAGGGTGCTGCAGCTCTCGGTGTCTGCTGCTGGGGCCATGCTTCTCATGCTGCCTGCTCTCTCATCCGCCTCGAACAATACAAGCAGTCGTGAGGCACAGTACATGATGCAAATGATTAAGAATTAATAACTGCTTCTCAGACCAATCATTTCAGCCAAGACTACTGAGAGTTTATTATTTTATATGTATGTTTTGAGCAAGATGACAGATAATTGAAAATGTAGTATTACTCCCAGTTGTTCATCATCTTCAGTGAACTTACACACACACCCCCAAACATAAAAAAAACTCGTTTCAGAATGCTGCATCCTCCCCTCGTCTTCCTTTGCCGTGCTTGCTTAGCAGGGAAGTTCTTCAGGGAAGTCTGACTTACAAGCTTGTGCTGTGCCAAGATAACAGCCAAAAGGCGTAACGGGAAGGAGACTGACAATGCCTTGCTTGCTGGCAAGGAGACTGCACTCGTGTGCGATCACACCTGCTCCTTCAGCAAGGTCTGGGAGGGGAAAGCAAAACCAAACCAAAACACCGTCCCTGTATGAACAGGTATAACCATAAGTATACAAGCACTAAAAATGAGAGTAAGCCTGAAGCATGGCGAGACTGGCAGGGCTGGCAGGGAAGAACGAGCTATAGGTAAGTGAGAGAGGTGCCAGCCACTGCCTGAGCAAAGGAAACCACAGAGCAAATACTCAGAGAGACCCTGCAGAGGTTAGCGGGGTGCTGCAAGTCTGTTGGGGGTCACAGATCAGGAACCAGAGGATTTCCTTGTGGGTATTTCTTCAGTAGGAAACAGCAACTGAAAATGGAAGAAATGCATGAAAAGCCGGGCAGGTTCACCAATAATAACAACAAGAACAATAATAATAATGTTTAGGATGTGGAAAGTAGAAGCAGGCAGCCTCTGAAGCCCTGAATTCTGGTAAGGCTTCCTGAAAGGCATGAAAACAGTACCCTGTACTGAGGAAATCTGCTCCCTTATGAGGCTGCCAGTCCTTCAGAAAGCAAAGAGGTTAACAAAACAGAGGCAGGAGAGATTAAAAGGTTTTCTGCACTTTTGCATCATTTAAATGTGTGCAGGGGACTGCATTCTTCCAGAAGTCCCACTTGGCAGAAGGAAAATAAAAACCACTTGGAGGATTTAACCCAGCAGTCCCCAATTCAATGCATATTTATAATGTGAAGTTTGTATAAGGCTGTAGAAAGCTTGGGAAAAAAGAATACACAAACAGCAACCAATTTACTGGAAGAGGAGTAATTGGCAGAAGGATCCCAAGCTTGTTTAAACCCTGGACATGCCTTTTGAAGATTTCGCTCTTCCTTCTCACAAAAGGGGCTTCCCTTTGTGCTCATCCTCCATGCACAATTCAATGCGTCACAGGGTGGGCAATGATGGCAAAGGGCTCTCTGCGGCACAGGGCAGGATTTCAAAAGCGTGCTGGCAAGGAAGATGCAATCTGGTGCCTGAGGATCAGCAAAATCTGAGAGATCTCCAAGCAGCATCAGGGCTCAAGGTTCTCAGACGGGTCTGATCGCTGCCTGGGGGAGCAATCAGCACCTGCTATTCTGTTCCCAGCCATCCTCATGATGGTCCAAAGCCTTTGGAGAAGAGGCCCTCTGCTAGTCCTGGGTTTTCTCCAGTGCCTTCTCTGTGCAGACAGTCACCACCCAGAGGGGGCTGTCACTGCCCATCTCCTCTTCCTCCCAGCGCCTGCAGATGGCAAAGCACGGAGCTGCCAGGCAGAAGCTTGCCTTGCCTACTAGCCCAGCCAGCGGTGCTGCCCTCCGGAAACCTTGCCTTCCTCCTGCAGGAGATGTGTTTTGTCAGAGTTTCTCTCCCTCATTTCATAGGATCAGTTCCTGCCCCAAGGAAGAGCAGAGAGGAGGGCCGAGCACCAAGACACAGTGGTCCAGAAGTGAGAAAACCACACACACAGCTCCCTGCATGCTCAGACTGCAGCTGAGATGCTGGTTGTTCCTTGCTAACATTGTCCCCTCTTGCCACCTGATTTCCTTGCCCTGATAGTCCCTGCAAGATACCCAGGGCCCAGATGTGCTGTTCTCAGACCCTAAAAAGTGCAAACACCCTTCCTTTCCTCCCCTTCCCCCTTGTGCCTCCTTCTCTTGGCTCCTACATGGTACTGAGCACAACCAGGAGTCTGCAGGGGGGGCCAGGCTGCAGCTGGTACAAATCAACGCAGCATCCCTGATTCAGAGTGACCGAGCATCTGATACGAGTCCTCCTGCATCAACGACACGTTCCTGGGGACTACAGGCACTGCAGAGGAGGAGGCTGCACGGAAGGACCCTCCCGTCACTTTCCATCTCTCATCCCTCTCCATGCGATGCGCACCCCGGAGCCCCAGTGGCAGCCAGCCTTGTCCAATGCTCCCAGCCACCTCAAGGACAGGGTCTGGTCGGGCAGAGGGAGAGGCAGAGGTGGCACCCTGCCCTGGCAGAAGCACAGCACCCTGTCCCAAAGGCAGAAAGAGATCTGGGACCAAAGGAGCCTGGAGAAAACCATGGTGAAGGCTGTGTCCATCCATCCACTGCAGTGTTGTTTCCATGTCCGTCTGCCTGTCTGCTCTCCCCCTGGGCCAGCCAGTGCTGAGCTTGCAGGAAAACGTGAAATTTCACATGTGCTAAGTGACACCTGTAATCCAGGGCTTTCCCCAGCAGATCCTCCTCATCCTTCTCCTCCTGCAGGAACAAGGGGGGTGGTGGAGGTCAGGCCTTTCAAGCCAGAGGACGGTAAATCCGTGTAGCACTCACTCCATTGTCCAAAGATTCATGGCTTTGTTCTCTGAAGGTCAGCTCCGTTTGTTCTAGTCAATTAAGGCTAATCTATGGCTTCTCCCTCTGCTCCTTCCCTGTCCGTATGCTCCTTGTCTGCAGGAGACCATTGGTCACAGGAAAGCTGGAGATGCTCAGAGTCCCTGAGAGCCACAGCAGGAGGAGGCAGATAGCTCTTCATCTCACGAGGGGCTCCCGGGGACCCCAGAAAAGCTGGAGACTGGCGGAGAAGAAAATCCCAGTGGTGTAAAGGCCCAGGAACCACCTGCAGCCTGGGGACAGATGAGGGTCCCTGCTGCAGCAGGTCCGTCTGCCCCTGTAGGGCAGGGACCAGGAACTGGGGCACGTTCTCCATCCACATTTTCCATAGGAGAAGGTGGAAGGGTTCCTCTCCTCTCGGCCATGGCTGTCCTTGTTTGCTTTGTCAGCCAGCTTTGTTTGTCTGCCTTGTTTCTGAGCAGCCCTCGGGGCTGTGTTTTGGAGAGAGGGTTTCATCAGGCAAAAGTAAGGTACAAAGATGAGTTAATGAGAACGATTATTCAGTGACAGCTGCTGCCGCTCACCTCCTAACAAGCGTAAGGCACAGCCTTGCAAAAACAAGGCTTTCTCTGATGATTATGTGCAGGGGGATTAACTTAGGAAACTTTGCTTAAGACCTGCAGTGATCTTATTGAAAATCTAGTCGATGAGCAGACAACTACGGGGGAAAAACACCTTGTTTGGAGTGCAGCTGCTGGGAGCAGAGACAGCCCGAGGCTGGGCTCAAGGCAGACAGGAGATGTGCAGCCCTTGTGCTGCCATCCCGGGTTTGCACACCCTCATCCCCAGCTCACACTGCTGAAGGCGATGGCCCACCTGGGGCTCGGCAAGGCAGAGCCCACTTCCAGAAGCATTTTCTCCCCTGACTGCTGCAGCTCACAGATCAAGCCCTCGGTCTCACACCCAAAGTTCCCCTGCCACGAGCTCCCGCGACGAACACGGGCTGTTTCTCACCGCAGACAGTCCCCTCGATGACTACAGTCAGCTCCGCTAATGATTATAGATGTGTTCATGCCCGAGAACTACTCTTCATCAGCTTCTCCACACAGGCATGAAATGCCCAAGCCTGGCACGTAACGCCTGCCATTTAGCGTCCCCATCAAGCCACAGGGGAACCAAATGGAGTGGAAAACTGGCCCAGGATCCACGCTTTCCTTCCAAACTGGCACCCCCTGAATGCAGGACTCCTCTTCTCCTCCTGCCTTCCCCACCAGCCCCCTGCCCAAGCTGGGCGAGCAGCAGTGCCTGGTGTGGGTGCCTCAATCTGTGCTGCTGGGGCGTTGTGCACAGAGCAGGACCTGGTCCCTGGGGTCTCTGCCCTGTTAGCCCTGGTGCCAGCCTCAGCTCTGGCCGGACCCAGCGTGGCAGCCCATCAGACAGATGGCGAGCGAGCCCTGCTCCATCTCCCGGGGCTGTTTGGCCACTCCAGAGAGCTGCCCTGGCCAAGCCCAGTTTGGCTGGCAGGTGCCCGTGCCCCAAATGGAAACGTTTTGGCAGGGTGGGAAGAGAGAGGCCATGAGCTGAGTAGATGAAACTGCGGTCCCCATCCAGGCCAGGGAGGAAGGCTTCCCCCACACAGCTCCTGGGCCTTCCTCGCCTGGGCATATCAATCCCAGTGCCCAGCAGCTCTTCCCTCGCTGGCTCCCATCCCTGCTCCGTTTCAGGCATCGGTGGCCCCACGCTGGCCACCAGCCCTGGCCCTGCTCCCTGGGCAGCATCCCCAAAGCAGCAGCCACAGCTCTCCGTGCTTTCCCCACCATTCCCTCCGTGAAGCCCTCCTGCTTGATTCATGCTTGTTCCACCTCCCCCTGCTGACCCCTCAGCCCCGGGGTCCGTTAGCAGTCAGTGCTAATCAGCTCCTGCCACCGTCCCTTCCTCCTGACGCTCACACGGCAGCTGCCCCATGTCAGCCCCATCAGCAACGCTGATTTTCCAAAGCTGGCTCTTAGGGACCTGCAGGGGTCTTACGGCCACCTCTAAACACCAGTCCCTGCAAACCACCATCACTCTTCCCTTACACAAACCTTGAATACATCGTCAGCCATAAAATTCCCGTACTCGTCCATGCTGCTTTGCTTCCCAGGGAAAGGCAGGAGCAGGGTTACCGTCCTCTCAGGGGATGAGGAAACCACTGCGGGCTCCTCCACAAACCCCAACCCAACCTTCATCAGCCCGCACTGAGGGCCAGAGGTCTGCAAAAATCAATGCTCTTAAAATGAAATAAGAAACCTTGACAAACTTTTATTTGCCTTCTCCGCTCACAGGCAATTAGAGGAGTAGAACATAAGGTCTGATTTTATGTGATGTTTTTTTTTTCCCCTTTCTTTCTTTTTCCAGTTTGTAGCTCTTGTACCACAGAAATGCATCTTGCATGATAACTATATACAGGAAGAACCCTCACGGCATAAGAAGTCCAATCAATACCACCGGGCAGCTGGAGCCAAAAACATGACAGAAACGAGCTGGGAATTGGAAGAAAGTAACAGACACCATTCAAACCCCCAGGGAGCGATGAAGGGCCAAAGCGTGCCCTGCCTGGCTGAGCAGTCCTGGCCTGATGGGGTTCATGAGATCGGTGCCTGGGAGAGGAGAACTCGTGGCCACCAGGCACCGTGGTGTGGGGGAGCAATGGGCAACAGCAGGGGGAATCGCCCCGGTGCTGCTCCTGCTCCTGCTCAGTTTGTGCTGCCATCGGAGAAACGAGAGGGAGGGAGATGCCCAGCGATGGAGGACCAGAGCAGAAACTGCACCTGGAAATGGGGGAAAACTCTGGGGGATAGGGGTGGTGGGAGCCAGGGAGCAGGGGAGGGCGCCGCCGCCGCAGACAGAGCCCGGGCGCTGTGTGGGAGATGGCAGCAGCCCGCCCCAAAGAGGATATGGGAAGGATTTATGAGCACAGCTATAATGAAAGCCAGTTATCCGTGACCATCTTAAATCTTGTCGGGGGAGGATGAGAGGGGCCATCTCCGGTGTGCAGACGGGAAGATTTAACGCTGTTGTTCCACAGCATGGGCACGGAACAAGCCCCCCGCGCAGGCTCTCGGGGCCGAGCACTGGGTGCTGAGCTCCAGCCCAGCTCCCACAGCCCTCACTAACTGCAGCACTGCCAGCCTGCTCTGCTGCTGCTCGTCCCGGCCACGGGAAGGAGGAAAACTCCTGTTCCTTCCCTGCCCTGCAGCCTGCTCCCCTCGGCAGCACGAGGGGCATGAAGCAGCTGCCCCCTCATCGGGGAGCAAAGCCAGCACCGGGGTGCACTCACCCCACACGGACCATCCCCGCTGCCCCAGCCCAGTCTTTGCAGCCCCACCAGCTCCAGCCAGGGGATGGTGCTTCAGCTGGGGACACCAAGGCGCAAAGGGACAGGGGAAGAGCAGCACGGCCAGTGCAGCCCCCGTGTGTCCGGTGCCCAGCCGCAGGAGCTGCCCGCGTCCCCCTCTGCCTAGCAGCCGAGCTGTGCTCTCCCGGCAGGGAAGGAAATCAGGTAAGCCATGTCTACGAGCACATATGGAGGGGCTGGGACGCTGCCCAAGCTTCAGCTCAAAAAAAAAGTGCACATCTCATGGTATAAATATTTTGGTTTGCCTCCTCCTCTCCAGCCCACAAGCTCCAGCACAGAAACCACAACAGCAGCCCTCAGCGCAGCCGTCTTGGCACTCGCTTCCCTCCGATCCCCACAGCCACCAACGTCTGCCGCGACAAAAGCCTGTGCAGTCTCACCTGGGTGCGTGGTATCACCCCAACCCCCTGAGTGACCCCCTGCTGCAGAGATGCTCCTGGCAGCATGGATGGCTGGGGGGCACCTTCTGGCCCCAGGAAGGTGCAGCTCACGGAGCTGTTTGGCTCTTTTCATTCCCTCCTGAGCAGAAAAGAGCTGAGCCCACTCCCTTTCCTGTTAGGACGGGAGCTGTCTTCGTTAACAATCAGAGCATCTGCAGCTGTGTCCTGCCATGGCTGAATGTGATGCCACTTCCCAGCGATTTGCTCCTCGGTGGCAGCCACAAAAGTTTCTCTAAAGGCTCAGGGAGGTGGGATAGGAATCTGGTGGTTTGGGGATACATTAATTTGATTCCGATGGGAAGGAGAGGACTTCCCTCAGGGGCTTTCTCCACTGATTCCTTGTGGAACAAGAGAAAGAGAAGGACCGCGTCTAATGAAAAATATATATTAAAAGCAATTTTTCACCAGCTTAATGGTTCTTTCTTCTTGAGCCAGCAGGGGAGTGAGGTGGGCTTTGTTGTGAATGCGCCCAGGCAGTGCCTCCCCCTGTGTACACCCCAAAGCCACACACCCAGTGCAAAACCTGAGCTGGGGCCCTGCACTTACCTGGGCAAACATTTGTTTTGTGCTCTAATAGCAAGGCAGATGCGCTATTCCCCTGTGTAAACATCCACTCTCCAGACATAAGCACTTCCGAGCTGTGCAGCACTCCTCTGTTCAAACAGCCACTTTCTAGGTGAAATCTGCTGCATCCTCCCGTGTCAACAGAGCCTGCTTGGGGCTGTCCCAGCCTCCTCCAGCCCCCCCCCATTTTCTTGGCTGGGAACACTCCAAGGGCAGCTGTTTATCTGTGCAAACACATCCTCTGCACGGGCAGCCTGTGGGGTGCTCTGCTCCTTGCACCCTCTCAGCATATGGGGCTACAAAACAGTAGGGAGGTGAGCAGCATGGATATAAAAGGAAAAAAAAAAAAAAAAGGAAAATAAAAGAAAAAAGTGGTTAAAATACATACTTGGTATATATTTTTTACATATGCAACTGATTGCAGAGGCGGCATCACACAAGGTCCCAGCTGCTGTTGTTTTGCCCTGGAAAACTTGTTGATCATGGCTTTTGCCCCAGCTTAAGGTCTTTGGCAGGACCCAGGACGAGCAGCAGTGTGTGGGTGAGTCGTTCAGCCTACCCTGGGTGCTCGTTTGGGACTGCTCAGATATTCTGTGGCTGCCTGCAAGGGGCTGGGGCAGGATTCATGTTCCTGCTGAGATGTAAATGCACAGAATATTGGATGAGCCCCCTGAAAGGCTCAGCACTGGGAAGGAGAAGGCTCCTGCACTTGCTGTAGCACCTAGCCCACCCCATGCCACAGGATGGGGCCACTGCTCTGTCTCTGTACGTAGGGAAACTGAGGCAGGAAAGGTGACAGGAGTTGCCCAAGGTCACTCTCACCGTGGTGGCTCAGCCAGAGGGCTGCCCACATTAAGGAGGGATAACGAGGAGCAGAGAAGGGCTGCTGGGGAACCAGGGGATGGAGGGCACACGGTATGGCAGGAGTACAGAACAGAGCTCGCTTAGCCTGGACGAAGCAAACTGGCAGTGATGCGATTTTTTTTTCCTCTATAAATACATCTGGAGGGTAAACATCAGGGAGGGGAAAAAAAGCTATTTAAGCTGAAGGACAATAGTGGCGCAAGAAAACATCCATATTAATGCTTAAAGGAGCAAAAGAGCAGGTTATGGAGAGAAGGAAAGGAGGGACAAACCGCCTGAAGTAAGGGCAGAGGGGATGCAGGCTGTGCCCACCGCATCCTGCCAGAGGGGGATGCCACCGAGCTGGGGTCCACACGGTGCCCACGGGACAAGGTTACATGGCAAGGCTAAATTAGGCAGTCTTTGGCACCAGGTGGGAAGAAGGAGGGGTGGCTGCTGTCCTGCTCCCCAGCAGAGTGTCTGATCCCTCCTGTCCCTATCCCCCCAGGCTTCCCAGACACACTGGCAGGCTCTGCAAAGAGCCAGGGGACCCCAGGGCCACGCAGGGACCCCAGGGTTTCACCCACCAGCACAGCAGCCCCAGCAGATCCCTCGCGCCCCGCTGCCTGCTTGGCTTAGAGCACGGAGCCGGGCATTGCTTCCTCACCCTGCTCCCAGGAGCGAGCCGGGATTTCCATAACTGTCAAAAACAAGCCTTTGTTATTAGCCCTGTGAATTATTTATCCTATCATAATTAATGCAGGGCTGTTAGCGACCGTGGCAAAGCTCCTCCGCTCGCCTGCCTGCAAACACCGCTCCACTTCTGCTTACCATTTCAGCATTAAATATGCATCAGGACTGATAAACGGCTCCAGATCACCGCGAGCCCACTGGACAAAGTGCCCTGAGCACAGACACCTCCCTGGGGAAGGGCCACACCGGGGGCATTTCCAGGCAGGGCAGGCTCACCCCCTCCACGCCCTCACCTCCATACAGAGACCCCTTCCAGCCCCACTGGGCTGCCCTGGGTGCACGAAGAGGGAGCTGGAGTTCAGTTCCCTTCAGTGGCTTCTTGGGGTTTAAACAAATGCCCAGAGAGAAGGAGGGAGATGGGGAGGGAGTGTATCACCTAATTAACGAGAGGAAATGAATAGCTGCTGTGGAGCTGCTGAGCTTTTTCGCTCCTCTGCCAGACCAGCCCTTAGGAAAAGAGATGAAGCAACGCCAGAGCACGAGGCTGCCTCAGACTCAGATGTTTCCCTTGGGTAGAGAGCCATGCTCAAAAAATACCTGGAGAGCAGGGTCCCATGTGGACAGGTATTACAGGATGCCTCCAGGACTCGCTGCCAAGCTCACTGGCCATTAGATTGGTGACAAATAACCAAATCCAGCCAATTCCAGGCTTAGTGCAGCAAATGAACCTGCCAGAGACCAGCACCTGAAGCCTTACTGCCCACCCACCAAACTCCCCTCCGACGAGCATCCCTCTGTCCTGCTGTGTCCTGCAGGACCCTCATGACCCGAGTGCCCCGTGCTGCTTGTTCTCTGCCTTCCTTCTGTCCCTGCTGGCTGTTTTGCAGCCCAGCTCCACGAGATCTCTCCGAGCAGCCTTTCAGGGGCACTCAGGACCATGGCAGCATCCCGGCGTGGAAAAGATCATTTCAGCAGGTGCGACGGGCTGGTGCTGAGATGGAGATCTGAAAGGGGGCTGCTGTGCTGCTCCTGTCCTGCCTCTCCGGGGGGTTAAAACAGGGAGAGAAAAAAGGAAGCATTAGCCGTGTATTGTGTGGGCTAATCCTGGCCCTAAGTGAAGTGCACTTAGAGTGACCCTTCTCAAAGCCTCGGCTCTCTCATCGATGTTTCTCTGATTCGAGGATCTTTCCGGCTGCAACATCTATTTCTCTGTCAACAGCCCTCGGTGCACCTCGCTTGCTATCTTTAGTCTCGCTTTATCGATCCCTCATTCCTATCTATCCATCTAATTCTTTTGTGCTTATTTCTGCCTGCCACTCCATTTACCGCAGTACACCTGTGCTGCTTTACCATGGGCAGCTCACCTCGGCTCCCGGGCAGGGGCTGGGAGCTGAGCAGCCCGCTGGACGCTCAGCTTTTTGTGGAGAAGAAACCCTCTTGGAAGACACCGCCGCATCCCCCTGGCTGTGCCCAGGCAGGGGATAAGCACAGATCAGGCAGCAGCAGTGTCGGACCCTCTGCCCTGCTGTGGCACGCCTTATCGGAGGAGATTAGTCAGAGCCTTGATCCTAATGCCGGCTCCGAATCCGAAAGGCAAGCCATGCCCTTGCAGATAAGGGCATCCTTGACAGCAGCAGCAGCTCTCAGCGCTGCCTGGATCGGGGCATAGCGGGGCACAGCAGGGAGCAGGGAGAGGTGGATGAAAGGGGAGAAGAAGGGCTGAGAGAAAGGGGAGGGTGGAGGTGTGCCCGCTGAGCTGCTCTTGTTTGATTCTCACCTTTCGCATCTGGAAAGGTGAACTGGGAAAAAGGGAGGCCAAGAAGAAAGCCCTGTCACTCACCCCGGCTCATTAAATCATTACCATCAATGCAGGCTGTGGTCCACGAGTGGAATGGGGGAAGGAGAAGGGTTTCAAGAAGATTCATGCCTCCAACAAAAACTGTCCCCACGCTGTAGCCCCAGCACCTCTGTGCACCGAGGGAGCAGCCCTGGGGTTTTCCAACGTCCCTGCAAACTGAGGTTTTGAGGGCTTCTTGAGCTGACCGAGTTGTTTTACATTCTGCTGTGGTCCTACAGGGACCATGGCTGGTTTATGGCTGCCAAAATCCAGGGCTTTAGGGGCAGGACAATTTAGGGACCCAAACACTCACCCACACTCCTGAGAGAAGAGCAGCAGAGAACGGGGGAGCAGGGCAGTCATTCAGCCTTAATTAGCCTCATCAAATATTCATCTGGTAATTTCCCTGAATTTACAAAGAAAATTAGCATCAACACAATTCATTGACTCTTGGAACATCCCACAGCACAAAGCCCGTCCCCTCCAAAAAGGGAGACCAGGCCGAGCACAGAGAACTTGGGCAACAGGAGGTGCAAGGCATTGGGATCTGCTCCAGGAAAGCCTCCAGAGATGCTGGGCCCATCCAGCAGATGGGGTTCCCCTCCCCTGCACCCCAGGTTTTTGGGGATGTGGGGCTGGGAGGGCACGGTGGCACGAGGAGAAACCAACAGCCAATGTCCCTCGCTGGAGCAAGAGGGAAGCTCAGCGGGTCGATGTGCAGCATCACAGCAGATTGTGTAGCTCACTGGAGATCCTGAAGGTCCTGGCCAGAGCTGGGTTTGGAGGCTGCAGCTGAGAGAAAAGGGTTTGCAACCCAGCACTGCTGGGAAATGCCAGCCCTGGGTTTTACAGCTCGGGATCAGAGCAATTTGGGATGACCACATTCCCAAATGCCACATAGAACTTCCCCTCAGAAACTCAGGATGCCAGATCCACCCAAGGTTTTACCAGGAAAAGGCTGGGAAAAAAAAAAAAAAGGATTGGGGAAGGGAAAAGGAATAAAAACCAAGCGGTTTGTGCAAACGGGTCCGTAAGCCTGAGCTCTCACAGAAAGCACTCGCTTTGCCCTTCGTGTCTGACAGAAAGCAATCAAGCCAAGGCCAGCTCGCAGGGAACCTTTGCCATTGCTTTGCAGTAGAGAGATTTCCATAAACCGCTGGTCGGTTTGTTTTTTGGTGCTTTTTTTTTTTATTCTCCCATGAGACATTTTCCCTCAATTTGTCTTTCATAAAAGGTCACTTTTAAAGACAGCAGCCCACTGGCGCCCATCACTCAGAGGCTCTGACAAGCCAAAGGAACTGTCAGACCACATTTTGCCTCCCAGCTACGTTCAAGGTTTTGCATTCAATGTGTTTTTTTATTATTCTCCTAATGGAGTTTCCCCTCCAAGGCCACTGCACTACCTAAGAGCATCAGCACCAGGCAGGACTTCACACAGTTGAAGCCTTACAATTAAATTTATTCCCAGGGAGAAGCTACAGGAGCAGTGGGAAACCTCAAGGCAGGCACCCTCCAGGTAGCAGGACAGAGATGCTCAGGAGAGCATCCAGGCAGCGGTGAGGTTTGCAGGGACCACACTGAATAGGAAGATTTCTGGCATCCCACGTGTAGGCAGGGCAGAGATTTGGGAAATGGTCGGACTCTGGAAGCCTTTTCTGGAGGAGGGAAGGTCTCTGGGTCCCTGCTGGCTGGGGACACGGTCTCCATGTCCCTGTTACGTGTCACTTTATGTGCAGGGTCCTCCTCCATTGGTGGCACGGGGACACCTGCCTGGGACAGCCATCAGCTGGGGAGCAGAGACCGGGGAGGAGGGAGAAGGGATACTGCTGCAAGGCAGGGTAAGAGGATAGCAGTCATGCCAGATCCGTGCTCCAGGTGGCTGAGCCACGTCCCTACTGCTGCCCTGATCAGAGGCAGGCTTTAAAAGTCTGCTAGGGATGAGCCTGCCCACGGAGAAGCACCTCTGTCCCCATGCAGACAGCAGCAGTGCCACTGGTTCAGATCAGCTCCTGCGAGCTTTACACCACGCTGAGCCCCTGGAGCAGCAGGGCCCTTTGGTCCCGTACACAGCGATCAGCAGGGTCCCTTTTTGGGGTGGAGGATTGGTCCCATACACAGCGAACAGCAGGATCCTTTTTTGGGGCAGAGAACATCCCCTGTGGCTGCTGGGGCTTCCCACCTGCATACAGCACAGCTCCAGCTGCAGCATTATCCCAGCTCTGAGCAGGGCTGGAAGGATGCTGCAGGGCCAGGAACAGGCTCCCCCAGCTCCTCTGCCATCCCCCAGCCCTTCCTGCCACCCCCAGCCCCTGTCCCCAGCCCTTGGCAGCCCCCCGACCCCCCCGGGGCAAGCAGCAGCGCCTGCCCACAGCCCGCCCCGGGGAACCGTTCACCACAACATGCTGGCTTTTAATTTGCTTACCCAAGCAATAAGGCGGAAATGAGGAATGGCAGCTAATTAAAAGTATCGATTCATGTGGCATTCAAAGCTACCCGAGAGGGCCAGGAGGGATGAGGAGCCCGCGAGCAGGAGAGGGGACGAGAGGGCTGCAGTGCCCCTGCGCCTGTTTGCCATGGGGAACGCTCTCGTCCTCCAGCCATCCTGCTCTGGGAGGCAACTCTCCAAAACACCAGGTCTTTTCTTTGCCAGAGAAGCCCCCAGATTGCCATTACATCAGCTCCGTACCAACACTCACCAAGCTCAGCGTGCCCTGTGGATTTATTTTTTTAAGCTCCCGGCCCCTCTAATCCCATGTACCGAGCAGATGCCTCACCGAGCAGGGCACCCACCTGCAGCACCACCACCCGAGGACTCAGGAGGGTGATCCTGCAGGCAAGGACTTCTTGGAGATGCTCTAACAGCTCCTCTGAGGAGTGCTGGAGCTCCTCCAAAACTTCCCACCTTGGGAACCTTCTTTTCCCTGCCAGCAGCATGCGGTGGGCTGAGGGGAGGAGTGTGTCGGGGAGGCATCCCGGGGCTTTCCCTCCGCTGGGTGCCTTCACCTCCTGCTCACCCTGAGCTGCTGTCATGGCAACACAGACTCCAATTCAGGGAGAAATGAGGAGGAATGGGTACTTCTGCTTGTTTAACCGAGGAGGCGGCAGCACCCAGGTGTTTGAGCAGGGAAGGAGCAGGGGAGAAAGCACAAGAAAGGGCAGACCCATCCTCAGTGAATCAAGACTCACCCAAACATCTCAGGAAGTTTTCTCTATTTCAAAGCCTGCAGACACCCACCAGGGGCTGCAAACACCCATCAGGGGGCTGCAAACACTGCCCAGCACCACCGGACACCCTTGGGCAGAGCTCGCAGCTTCAGGAGACTCCAGTTCAGCTGAGCCCCTAGCAGACACAGCTCTTCTTGAGCAGCCTGAGAAAGGCAAAAAGCAGGTGGACAAGAGGCAGGAGTCATCGCTGCTTTGTCCTGCCAAGATGGCTCCATTTCCCTCAGCTCTGCAATGTGTCCTTACATTTCCCAGAGGCCCACAAGAGAGCTTTTTCTGGGTATCATCCAGTGATGATTGCTTTCCTAGAAATGGTGCTCAGAGAGGAGGAGGGAAGCCCAGTGCCACACAGAGCACTTACGGCTGATTCACCCAAAAATCCCAGTCCTTTTCCTGCATCTCTGGTAGAGGCAGGCTAGGGCTGAGGAGACACCTTCCTTTGGGAGCAGGTTTGCAGAAAAGTGCAGCAGAAGGCAGGGGGCTCCCCGGGCTCGATGGCACTGGAAGGGGTGGCTGCCTGGTGAGACACCCCCAAATCTCTCAGTCTGCCTTCTCTGGAGGCAAAACTGCAAAACTGGCTCCATATTTGATGTCTCCCACCCACAGCACACAGCTGAGAACGAGCCTCCATTGTACCGGGGATTATTTTTTGCAATGAGAAATCTAGAAAAAAAATGTGTATGGATAATATAAAGCCAAAGCAGCTTAATGCACCACGGTGCAGGGGCAAACCTCTGCGGGGCGCTGAGCAGACCCTCGCACCCTCAGCTTGTCCCCCCCGCTGCCAGCCCCCAGGAGCAGCTTTTGGCAGCTCCTGTTCCCCATCTCTCGGGGAGCCTTACGCAGCAGAGGCTCGTCCTGAAGCCACCTGTAAAATGGGCAGCCCCAAAGCTGCATCTGCCGTGCCCCGTGTCCACTGGGCTGGGAATTCAGGCAGCCCAGAAGCGCAGCTGTGCCATTGTCTGCTTCTCGCCAGCATCTGCCTGTCCTGCTCACTGGAAAAATCATGGAGCTGCTGCTAATTTCATTAGCAGGCCCATCAAGCGGTTCATCAATCTATGATTTCCTGGCTTGCCGCCACGAGGAAAACAAGCGGGATCTGCTCTGCATTTGCAAAGCCATCCTCTGGGGTAATTGGTCTGAAGGCTTCGAGTTTCCCGAGTGGATTATTACCTCGGATTAAACCTGGGGAAGGAAGAGGTTTTTTGCCCTGTATTTATTTTTTCTCTCCCCTCCTATCCCCCAGAAGAAGCCGGGATATCCCCCGAGCTGCCAGCAGCTCCCCAAGCCGGGGGGGGGCAGGAGCTGGGTACCCAGCCGGGGCTGGCTGCACCCTCAACCCCCGCAGCAGAGGAGCAAAACCCTGGGATTTTGTGCCCAAAGCCGGTGGCAGGGCAATGCCCGGGAGCTGCAGCCGGTTCCGCGGTTCACAGCTCCCTCTCCCGGCCCCGTGCCGGCATCCTCGGGCTGCAGCCCGCGGCCGCAGCGAGCAGCCGGGATGCCGGTGTCAAGAAAGGGAAAAGGCAGAGCAGCAGCCGGTTCGTCCCCCAACCCGCCTGGGTAGCAGCTAAACGGAAAAGCCTGACATTTCGGTGACGGGCAGCAAAGGAGTTTTGATCTCACTCCACCTTCCAGTGCTGGGAATTTAACCTTCCCTCACCCAGTGGTCCCAAAAAGCAAGGGTGTTTCATTTTAAACAGAAAAGCCTCACCCATAACGAAGAAAGGCAGTCTCATTTTGAGGGAAAAGAAAGGACAAAGCAAACCCTCTCGGTTTTCTACCATCAGCCTTTCTGGGTTGATGTGCTCCCACCGCATTATCTTAGAAAACTACCAGCTGAGTTTGGCCCAGAGCACGAATTTCCCCCAAAATTCCCTTCTCCATTGGACTTCCTCCTCCTTGTAAACCATCCCACCCCACGGACCCAGTGGGCAGGAGCAGGAGGTCCCAGAGGTGTGCATGCAGTCACGGTGGGCAAGCAGGGAGGTTGCATCCCCCGGTCCCAGCACCTGCACAGCCCCCCTTAGGGGCACAGGTAGTATTAGTGCTTAGGATGCTGTGCAAGGGGGCTGGCAGGGATTTGGTGGCCCTTCCTTCACTGCACTCTTGCCCACGGGGCTTTGCCTGGCAGAGCTTTGCCAGTGGCTGTGCTGGTGCCAGGATTTCGCCCTTGCAGGCACATCCCCGTGACTCTGCCGTTCATTTCTCCTACAGTCAGCAACTGGCCTGCAAGGCCCCAAAACTCCCACCGAGTTCAAGAAAACCTCCTGCCTAAGAAAATAAATGTGTTCTGCGCTCTTTCCGAGCTACTGACGGTAAAGCAAATACGGGCACAGTTGGGTCCCATCACTGCTTTGTTCCTAAAGAACGAGTCAGTTCAGCCAAAGCCTTCCTGGCACATCTAGCCATCATTAGAGAGATGAGAGAGACAGTTACTGTCGTCCTTCTGCACTTGGCGTAACAGACATCGTCGTTCAGCACGGAGAGGTCTCTACCTCCATATTGTACTTGTCGTCTGAGCCCTCCGCAGTCCAGAAGGAAATCACTCTACCTCTGCAGCAGGAGGGCTCAGGAATGCTGTCCCCCAGGATAGTGTGGTGCAGGGTACCCAGCTGCTCGTGCCGGGGCAGTTTGACAGCTGGAGCACTGAATATAGCAGAAGGGAGAAGAGTGGTGGGCAGGAGAGCAGCTGCCGGCCCTTCCAGCTGGATATCCAGCCTCGGAGTAGGAGGTGAAGCTGACCTATGGAGTCACAGTGACCCAGACAGGCTTCCTCATTTGCAGACATCAGAGGCACAGATCGGGCTTTCTTAGCTGAGTTTGGGTATCCTGCGGGTACGGAGTCACTCCGTGCAGACCAGGTGTCTGCAGGCACTCTGTGGAGACGCTGTATTTACACGAAGTGAGTTATAAAAGCCAGACCTAAAATGCCTTTGTAAATATTTGGCCTGTGGTTTGGTCTCTCTCAGTGGGGTGTTTTGTTATCTGCAAGGAATGCAGCAGCTAGGCCGCCTCCCCTGCCCTGGTGCACATAAGTGGGTGGCACGTGGCAGGTTGTGTGTGCACTGAGACTCTGACCTCCCTGAGACACAGGGGAGGGCAGCACATCCAGGTACCCCTCCAGCGAGGGTCATGTCCCACCTCCTGGTAAGGCAAGTGGTAACAGGGAAATGAGTCAGGCAGAGACCTTTTGCTAAGCTGGGAGGAAGCCCAAGGTCTCGCATGGAGGTGATGAGAACAGAGACAGGCCTGAGGAGGAGCTAGGACAGACACCTGATTCAGAGCCACCTTCCAAGCTGCCACTGAGGCAGTGGCAGCAGCAGCGCTAAGGACCTGAGAGAAGTCCAGGCAAGGCAGCCAAAGGCGCTGCCATATGAAATAACATCTCACACGGGGCAAGACATCACCTAGCTGGCCTCTGCGCCCCCGCACTGCATCCCACCAGGTGTGGCTTCTTCCTTAGCCTAAGGCAGACTGTCTGAGCTATCCGAGAAGAAGTCCTCCAGATCCTGCTGCCTCAGCTGGGACTCCAGAACAGTGATGCGTTGCTTGAGCTTCATCTGGGCATCATTGTACTCTGTCAGAAGGCGGCCGAAGCGGGTGTGAAGCGTGTCCAGGTTCAAGGCCAGCCTGTCCAGCTTCTCTTCCACGCTCTTCCCTTCCATGCTTGCCTCTGCAGCTGACTCGTCCAGCAGCCCTTCCTTGGTCAGGATCTCCCGGCCCCGCTCCTCCAAGACCTTTTTGGCATCAGGATACTCTGTGACTGCTTCCATCAGGTCTTCCTTTGACAGGCAGAAAAGATCAGAGTAGCCCAAGCTACGGATGTTGGCCGTGCGCCTGTTGCCCATTTTGCTCCCTTTAATGTTGAGGATGCTGATCTCGCCAAAGCAGCCTCCCGCAGTGAGCAAAGCATATTGTGTTGTGCCATCATCCGCCACCACAGCCAGCTTCCCCTCCTTGATGATGTACATCTCTTTCCCGATATCTCCTTTACGGCAAATGTAATCCCCTGGGCTGAACACCTGAGGGCGAAGCTTCAGCACCAGCTCCACCAGTAGACCTGCCTCACAGTCCTGGAAAATCCTCACCTTCTTCAGCGTCTCCAGGTGAACGTTGATGGCAATCTCTGCTCTTAACTTATCAGGGAGATTCTTGAGGACTTCCCGTTCGTCCACCGCCTTCTTGTTTGTCCACAGGTAGTCAAACCACTTGATGACTTTAGTTTCCATGTCTTTGCTCACCTTGCGGAACTGCATGTAGTGTTTAATGGCATCAATTTTTGCCTGGAACTCTGCCCTGGTGGCGTTCATATTGGATATCATGGAGCCCACGTTCCCCACAATGGTGGCGAAGATGAGGACACCGATGAGGAAGTCAAAGATCACAAAGAGGTATTCTTCATCACGCACAGGCGGCGGGGTCTCTCCGATGGTAGTCAAAGTCAACGTAGACCAGTAGAGACAGTAGACGTACTCCCGGGTGAGATACCCATATTCAGGGTCTGTGACATTGGGATAGACCCAGCTGTCCTCCCCAAAGCCTATGGCCTTGGAGATGGCATAATAAATGCAGGCATTCCAGTGGATGATGACCAGGATGTAAAGAACCAAGTTGCTGATGCGGAAGATGTTGGGGTAGCTGGTTCTGGTCTCCGTCCTGTCAAAGAACTCAAACATGCGGGAGAAGTGCAGCAGCCTGTTGAATCGCAGTTCAGGACGATGCAACCCCACAGCAAAGTAGGCCAGGTCTGTGGGCAGGATGGAGAGAACATCCAGCTTGAACTGTAAGGTGTGGATGTAGTTATCCCGTAACTTCTTCAGGTCCTTAACCAGGAGGCCCTGTTCCAAGAAGCCTAACAGAGAAGCAAATAATAGAATGTTCTTGGCTTATGTTCAACTCTTCTACTGGCTTTGTAAGTGCTTCTGATAAATATTTCAGAATATGCCATGCATATTTGTGCATATACACAGTTATCCAAACATTACCAGTTGCACCTGATCTACTCTGTTTACAAGCTTTTGCTGTCACGCAAGCTCCTCATCTGGCAAAAGCCATGCAAAGCTATCACTTAAGGATTTACTCTGTTGCCATGAAGTAATAGGGACACAAAGGTTTCCTTTCTCCGGTCGTGAATTACCGCTGTTCTGGACAGAAAGCACAGCCACCTGCCCCATTCCGAGAACATTAAATTCTACCATTTTTCCATGTAGATAATTCATTAGCTGAACTTGTGCAAAATCAGAGATACAGACCTTCAACTATGCCCGAATACTAATAGTAATGTGGGTAATTTTGTACAATTATTCAAAGGTGAAGTTGAAAGCTAGGATGATTAATCTTTCATTCTCAAACTTACTCCATTTCTCAGATCTCTTAATTAGATTATTTCTCTGGAGACTGCTTCATACAAGCGAGAGCCAAGGTAGACAAAACCCTCCTTCTAATGGAGCTGCAGATTAGGTCCCTCCCTTGCAGTTCACCTCCACCTTTAGGGCATCAAAGCAAAGCAATCGCAGGCCAGGAGGCTGCTGCTGCTTACCTGTGCGCAGGCGGATCACTACATCCCCTATGTAGATGCAGTCTGAGACGTAGTCCAACACCAGCCAGAGGACAACGTAGGTCTTCTGTAGGTCACTGAAGCAAGCCCTGGACGAGGACCATACAATGGGGCAGTGAGACCAGTAAGTCCCTGTTACAGCTGAATATAGGCTGATTCTGGGGCTTGTAACTCTGCAACAGAGCTTGGCCACTTGCCCCTCTACTCAGAGAAGTTAAAACCATCTCCTCTGAAGAATCTGCCATGCCTTGACCTGCATAAAGCAATGTCTTGATACCACATCCCAAAAGCTCTGCAAGCAACTTCACCCCGAGCTGACAGTCCTTTCCAGCCAGGGCCAGATGAGGGGTGCTCTGCGTTTACACACCACAGCCACTGTGAGATGAAGGCCCCTTTCTTTAGGCACCCCCAGGCCCTCTCCCCCCTCACCAGCACCAGTTGTCTGATCCTTGCTTGAGCCACAACAGGCAGGTGAACATGAGGATCAGAGGAGACAGGAACCCTACAACCTCCGAGCTCACCTGGCCACCAGCAAGCACCAGTTATAGAGGACAGGAACGGCAATGACAGCCAGCCAGCGGTAATACCAGTCCCCCGCAGGGTCCACCACAAAGATCTGCCATTTCTTCCTGGAAGCAGAGAGAAGGCAGAGCAGGCAATGTGTGAATAAAGGGCTAAACATAGAAAACAGGTGTGGAAGGAACCATCTGAGTCATCTCCTTCATCCTTTGCACTAGACTGGATCAAACGTAGCTGCAGCTCGAGTGTAGTCTGTAAGCTAAAACCAATCCCAGGAGTGCTGAGCAAAAACGTCCGGCACTGTTTATGTTCCTTTATCCCCAAAACAAAGCTTATTAACGTACCAGAAGAGAAACTGTAGCGTGGCAAGACAAAGCAGCTGGCCTACATGCACCTCAGAGGCAGAGCCAGACAGATGTATGAAAGAGGCTGACCAGAAAACTTCTTGTTAGATGGCATCGCCTCTCCCAAATGAGGCATGGATTGGTGCCAGACAGATCTGAGAGAAGAAGATTAATTAGAGCAGGAAGGAAAACATGCTGCAGATCAGCAGGAGCACCAGGAGGGGCTGCCCAAGCCCCAGAGCGGTGGCCGGTGTCACAGGGCTGCCATCGCCACACTGCCTGCCTGCAGTCAGTGCTCAGTCCGGGGTCCAGCCTTTGAACTGCTCCCAAGCATTTGATCCTGCTCGTCTTGGGGCTCTGAGATAAGCAGCCTGTGCTCCCATGGCCAGATCTCACCGGAGGAGCAGGGGAACGGCAACTCTGCAGCTTGGCTGATAGGCACGGCTGCTGCCACCTGCCAGGGCAAAACGCCTTCTCCCTTCCCATCCTCCCCTCACTCCCAGCTTTTGAACACGTAAAACTCCCTCCAGCGCTAGGAAGAACAGCCCACTTGCCAACACATTCCCTGCGCTCACCTCACCACTTCCAACAGCTTCAAAAGAAAAACCTCTGCCTTGAAGCCTCCCTCCCCAGCAGCACCCAGGCTGCCCGCAGCGTGGGGACCGGTGCTCGGAGCAGAGCCAGCGGCGCTCCTTCACATACACCCTGGGCACGGCCACAGACAAGCAGGTGGCTCAACCTTCCCATTGCAAGTGGGGAGAAAATGACAGCGTTTTGCTCAGATAAGGGTTGATGTTTTTTGAGACAGGGACACCTTGCTCGCTGGGACGTACAGCACCTGCCACCAGGCAGTACTGTTGTAACGCCGCATCACAGGCACTAATAACCTCAGTAACAGCCTTAGTCAGGTTGGTAGTTTCAGCTTTAAATCACCAGTGCTGGAGTCACTGACATTATGCCGATGCATGCTCTGGCCACAGGGCCAGGGCTGGAAAACCCTAGACTAGCTCAGCACTAGCCCAGAAAGGGGGAAAACTGCCCTGAAGGCTCTGTGCCCCCTCTGCAGCCCTGGGAGCTCCCCATGCCATGATCAGCAGCTCCATGCTCAGAATTACCAGACCTGGGACTGGGAAAGCAGCAGAAGTTGCCACCATCTCCCCAGGAGCTCATCCCAGTGAGCCACGGTGTTCTCCTTTCTCAAGTTTGCAGGGCAGCACCGAATAACACAACCCCCAGTGCAGGGATCTTCATTCCTCCCATCCCTTAGATGAAGCCAGGCTGGCATTTACTGGCTGTAAGGCGACAGCACTTGGCTCTGCTCTTGCTTCCCCTGCAGACGCATCCTCAGCTCAGACAGCACAGCTCCTCGCGAGGAGCCCACCGGCAGGGAGCTGCCCTCTGATGGCACACTCAGTGCCTCTCCCATAATTAACAAGCTCCCCTTAACCCCGCAGGGCAGAGCACTTTTTTGTCCACGACTAGTAAAAACCCAGATACAAGGCTCAGATATTTTCCTCCTATAGAAAACAATCATTTCTTGGTGTTTTAATTACCATGTGTAATGGTAGGGTCCAGGCGAGTCCGTGAGCTCTGCCCTTTAATTAGCCAGCAGAAGAAAAGCCAGGTTATTGCTTTTCACCGGGAGCGGGAGCCGAGGAGATGAAAGGGCTGGATTTGAAAGGGCCTTTTCAGAAAGCTGCCGTCACAGTGTCTGCCCTTGGAGGTGGAGGAAACAGGCAGCAAACGCACTGCCTTCATCTCCCTTCCTCCTGAGAGGATGAATGAGGCTGGAGAAGCCCACAGGTTTGTGCTCGCTGGGGTCTCCTGGGGGGCGACCCCACTTTCCTCAGTTTCTCCCCAGCTCCACGTGTGCACAGGCTGCAGGTACCCCTTTTTAGGGACCCAGGGCTGGGTTCAAACACCAGCCTTGGTGCTGAATTGCTCCAAGGTCAGGCAGGGCAGGGGGGACCCTTCCCACGGCTGCTGCCCTACCTGCCCCATTTACCACCACTGCTGGGAGACCCCAAGCACCACGCACGGTCGCAGGGAAAGAAGCCTACTTTTTGCTTTTCTCCTCAGTCTCCTCATCCTCTGGATCACTGCCGGCGTCTGCAGCCACCATCTGGAGCTCCGGGCCCTGGAAGCGCTCGAGGAAGGGGTCAGGCCTCTGCTGCTCCTCGTGCAAGCTCTTGCTGGCCCAGTCCCTCAGCACCAGCACCAGCCGGACTATCCTGGGCAGGGAGACAGGCAGAATCAGGTGCAGCCCTAAAGTCCTACTCAGCAGGAGGGGATCCCGACCCCACACACCCCCAGCATGTCAAAGCCAGGCACAAAAGGCCCAGGCTCAGCCAAGAGCCCAGGCAGCAGCTCGCCAGCTTCCTCCCCATGCTCTGGGAGCCATCCCCACACCCAGGCACCCAGCCCAGCCGCACACACGGGTACCTGGCCAGAGCTCGCCTGCCTTGGAAAAGGGGGGCAGCCGGCTGCTCGCCCCCAGCCACGGGAGCCCCTCTTTGCAGCTCCGAGGAGGCCTCATCCTGGGTGGAGCAGGTCCTGTGGTGTGGAGAAGGGGGGTCACGGCCATGCACACCCCGAGCTGGCCCTGCCAGCACCACCCTGCTGTGTCCATCCTGACCTGGTGGTGCTGAGCTCTGTCCCCTCCTCGTCGGGCCCTGCAGGGGCTGGGGCGGGCGGGCAGGGGCTGAGGGCGGCCGGGGAACGGTGCAGGCCATTGCTCTTGGCTGTCATCCTCCCCGCGAGGAGACCACGGGCACACGCCTGCGCCGGGGACCTGGAAGAGCAGAGAGCAGCCAGGAGTGCAGGGAGCAGGACATGATGGTGGTGAACAGCAGCCTGAGGTCCCAGCTCTGCCTGTGGCCCCTGTAAGGTGCTGTCCCCATCCCCAGGGATGCTCGGTCATGGCCAGGACAACAGCACCCACAGCGAGTACCAGCACTGCTCCCACTGCCTGCCCCACGGCGAGGACAGGGGGGTGAGCAGGGAGGGAAGGACCAGGCAGCCCCCATGGGGAGATGTCAGGCAGCAGCACAAGGCAGCCTTCCTCATGGCCAGCACCCATCCCTGCGCTGGAAATTAAGGTTTGCTCTTTAAAAAAAATAATGTCAACAATAATAAACCACCTGGCTGAGGTTCCTGCTGGCAAGTGCTACCGTCTGGTTTCAGAGAGCATCAGAGGAACTCAGCGTTTACACGCAGAGGCTGCTGTGGAGCTGTGAAGTCTGGGAGCTGATTTCTCTAAGAAGTGTGAGATGCCCTGCGGGCTCGTCTGGCCCCAGCACCCCTCGCACCCGCCGCCTGACACCCGCTCAGTTCACAGACGTGCACATATGGAAAGTCCCAGCCCTGCCTCGGGGAAGAAGAAGATAAAATTCCCCCCAGCTAGCCCTCCGTGCCCCGCAGTGGGGTGACCCCCACATGGTGTGCCCACGGGTGATGCTCTGTGTGGGTGCAGGCAACGCCTTGCACACCCCAGCCCACGTCCCCGCTGCACTGAGACAGTGCTGGGAACCCCCAACACGGAGCTCCCTGCAGCCCAAGCCACCTCCCCAGGGTGGCAGAGCCACCACCAAGCCCCCACCGCCGTCCACTTACGAGCCTGGTGTCCTCTGAGGCTTCGCTGCCACCTCGTGTGGGCTAGCAAGGGATGGGGAGCATCCTCCTCCAGCAGCCTCCTGAGCTGTCCCCAGTGCCACCCCTGCTCCTGCCCTTCTCCCCGGCCCAAGCAAGGGACCCGGCAGCAGAATGTCCCCGCGGTGCCCGGGGAAGGTGACAGCGTGTGCGCGTCTCCTCGCTACGGCACGCACCCGGCCCCTCAGCTCCCTCGATGCCCCGAGCAGCTCGCTGCACATCAGAGGAGTTGGTTGCAGCGGCTGCGAGCCCAGGGATGAAAGGGGAGGAGGGACACGCGCTGCTCAGGGCTGCTCCGCTTCCCTGCACGTCCCCTTCGCCCCCGCCACCCCTCCTTCCCTCCATCCCGCTACCTCTTGTCGTGCTCAGGGAGCAGGGGTCACGTTTGCTGCTCAGGAGTGCTGGAGAAGAGAGCTGCAGAGTTTGATAACAATCATGAAGCGTGCCTTTCACCAGTCTCTGTTTTCTTAGGTTGTCCACAAAGCCATTTTGATAACCAGGCGGCAGAAAATTTGCATCCCCGAAGCCATAAAGGAGATAATTTTTACCCTCTTCCACCTGCATCCAGCCATAGGCATGGGATTTGTGCACCCCGGGCAGGGCTGATCTGAAAGCACCAGCAGCTGGAGTCCCTTCACTACTAAAAGTTTACCTTCGCTTCCTTCAAAGCCTTAATTTCCACCTCTTCTGATCTCACTGCCTCCTGGCAGCAGGGAGCCTGAAGAGACAGGGAACTTCTGCAGCCTCGGTCGGGGCTGCAGGCAGCGTTGGGCAGGAGGGACACATCTTGCTTTTGTCCCCGTGCCACAGATCCGGGCAGTGGCAGCAGCACATCCCTCTTCCCATCTCTCTTTTTGCTCCCTACCTGCAACCACCTCCAAAAACAACACAGAAACTCCGGGAGCCACTCTGCTTCTGCCCCTTTGGTGCACGCCACGCACCTCCCTCAGGTGCTGCGTTGCACATGATGCTTCTTTTTGTACACACATTGTTGTGGCAGCCACCCGAGGGGGCACCCAGCCCTGCCACATCTGCTCTCCCTGGAGAGAGAGGATATAAATAAAGGCATCACCCCTGGGCAGGGCTGCAGGTGGGCAGCAGGGAGCTGCTTTGCAGCTCCGGATCCCCAGCTCGCCCTCCTTCCAGCCCCAAAAGAGCTGTTCCTGGGCTGCCCAGCTGGTGAGGTGTGATTAAAGAAGCTCGCGTGGCGCAGACAGCCGGCACCAGGTCAGAGTCCTGCTGGCGAGGGAACGAACCTCACCCATCCCCACCCAGCCGGATACCACGATCAGGCTCCACGATGGCACCAGAGACACGTCCAGCACACAGAGTTTATTAAAATACGCATTTTATGGGTCAGTGGTTCCAGATTTAAACCAGGACATACACCTTATGTAGCAGTCACCTTCTATCCCCTCCAGCCCACCAATAATTACCCTCCGGGAACACCTACAGTCTGACCACCTCCAAATACTTCCAGCCTGACCACATCCCTGAGCTGCAAGCCACAGGAACCAGCTCAGCACCAGTAAATCCCAGCGCTCTCCTCAGCCCAGACACCAGCCACAGGTTCAGACCTGCAATTACTTGTGGGGCACCTATTTATCAGTGAGCGTCCACCTGCCAGATTTATGGTCACGGATGCTTGATGCAGTTGCAGGCAGGAAACACCTCAGCAGCCAGGTCTGTAAATAAGCTCCTGGGACATGCAGGTGACCTGCAGATCCAGCTACGATCATTTATAGGTGGCACAGAGAGGCCCTGTTGCCAAGACCAAGCACACAGGCACAGCTCCAGCAGATGTACTGCATGAACCACCGAGAGTCTCAAATCCCCCCCGAAGCCAGGTGTTCCTGGCCTCCAAGGAAGGCAAGGAGCAGCAGAGCTGTTGAACAGCACTTGTTTTTAGCTAAAGGGCATCTGGGCTGAGATTTCCCCTCACCTGTCTTGTTGCACCCTTGCTGAAATTGCAGCTTGGCAGCAGACCTGGGAGTGATCCTGCCCCCTGGCACCAGCAACCTAACAAACACCTACCTGCTGCCCAAACGGGCACTTTTCCACAGCCTGGCTGTTGTTACAAGGTGTAGAGTCACCACAGGGACATTTCCCATTCCAATCTCTCTGGGAAAAGGCCAAGCTTCTGGATAAGCCCAGAGCTCTGCAGTGCTGGCGGTCACTTTGGACCTGAACATTTGCAAACACGCTGCTGGGCGGCCTCCAGCGTGCTGAGAGCCCAGGAGATGGCACAGCAGGGGCTGCAGGGATGTGAGCACCCAGCTCCTCCACATCCACCCCTCCTACCTACTCCTACGCTCCTTGTCTCACCCCACCACCCCCCGACACCCATCTCCAGCTGCTGCAGCACCAGGTCCAGCTTCAGGGTTTCACTTCTCCCACCGCTGCTGCTAAAGAGTGGCACCTTGTCATCAGGGCCTGAAGGACATAGGTCCTGCAGGGCCTCCAGTGCAAAAAGCAGGTCAAGTTCAGAAGAAACACACGGTTTTACTGTTTGCAAGCAGGTGAGCAAGGATCTTCCCCTGCTCACGGTGGGCCGGGGCACAGAGAGTCATCTCCTCAGCCAGAGCCATGTGTTGACGAGGCAGGCGGAGATCAGCACGGAGTACACGATGGCCTCCTTCTGCTGCCAGGCGTTGCACTGCTCCTCCAGCACGCGCAGCCTCACCGAGATCCTCGTCAGCTGCAGGGAAAGCAGCGGGGCCATCAGCAGCCCTGCTTCTCCATGAGGAGCATCACCCAGGGCTGGCTTGGCAACGCCAGCAAATCGAGCCTGAGCAACAGATCCCTGGAGCGCCCTCATCCACCCTCTTGGGGCTTTCCCAGAAAACATCCACATCCCTCCACCTCCTTTCTCACCTGCTTTCTCATTGCTGCCATCTCAGCCGTGCCGACCTCCTCCAGGGAGCTCTCCAAGGCTGGGGCAGCCTCCTGGGGGCTGCGGGAGAAAAACAGAGATGCAAACACTGCTCGAGAGGTGCAATTATCTTCCTGCACACGTGGCACTGCCGCGGGGAGCCGAGCCATGCAGGCAGTGCATGCATGCCCAGGCCGTGCCAGCTGAATGCAGCTTCAGGAGAGAGGAAACAGCACTTGCACAGCATCTCCTGATTCCCTCTCACCCCCCATCATGCATTTTTACACCCCTCCACCATGCACCCCAGGGTGACCACGACAAAACATACAGCACATGCTACTGCAGCCAAGAGTAGAAACACATGCTGCTATTTCTTTAGAGGCCCAACAGAGAGAAAACACAATATTTACCCAGCATCCATTTTCTATAGCCAGAGGAATTCACTGAGGATTGGATAAATCAGAGTTAGAGCGAGACAGGCAGACACAGACCACACGGCCAATGCCAAACTGGAGGGATGGCATCATTTACGTCAGCGGGTGGGGATCCAGCTGGTGGGACGCAGCCACCAGCTGGGGGTACCTATCCGAACACGTGTCAGCGAGCAGAAAAGGGTCCTGTGTTTGCTGAGACGAGGATTTGCCCTCTCCCACGCCTCCCCCAAAAAGAAGTGTTGCTTTCTGCCCTCGTAGCAAATCTTGCTGGAAATGTAAATACGCATCCCAGCTGTGCAACACTTTCCCCATCCCTGCGAACACCGGGGCCACCCCTGGGACAAGCAGCTGCACTGGCAGAGGCTACGGATGAGCACCCCGGTGACACAGCCTTGCTCCAGGGCCCACAGCACCGAGCCACAAAATAAAAAAGGTGTACGGTGAAAAATCTGACTTGCCACGTTCAGTCTGCTGTTGCTGCCATCGTGGGCTAGTGTTACCTGAGCTGGTCTGTAAACCAAATATCCCCCACAGGCACTCGCTGACACGTTATGGGTTACCAGGTGGCAAACACCACTCCTCTGGGG